TTAACATTCAGATCTTGGGAGTTAAAGGGTTAACCAAATTTACAAATTCCAACAAATGATAATAAGAAAAAACATACAAGAGAATGAGCATTGAGATAACATTTGAACTTAGATGTAAGTGGCTAGTGAGCAGTACATTTTCAACATTCAAGATCCTGTAGTGAGCTGTAATTTAACCCTTTAACTTCCAGAAAAGATTACCAAGTAATTTCTCCCTATAATATCTAAACATTATCCAGCAAACAGGTCATCAGAATATTCAAACTTATCAGATAGAAGTTGTTATCTTCATCTAACACCAAATTCTTGTAACCTATTTACAAGAAAATGTGCAGCAGCTAGAAGGGAGAATTAACAATCAGATCTTGGGAGAGAGTTAATCAAATTTCCATAACAAAGCCTGCAAAATTCAAGCTTGAACAGGATTTGCACCACTGCCTCCCAGATAATAGTTGGGTATTACTTTTAAGGTGAGTTTTATGCAATTTCTTTACCTACTAAAGTCATGTCTTCACTTGTTTATCGCTCACATGTCAAAATAAGTGTTAATAAAAAAAAACAAAAAGGTGCGCTATAAATAAGTTGATTCTGCCCCTTGGTTTTAGCTCAAATGCAAATTAAGCTTTAGTAATATTACATGATGGCAAAGTGAATCTTTTTAAATTTTCCAGCACAAATGAAGAGGGTTTTGATGGGAAGAAAGAGATACAAATTTCAACAAATTCGTTAATTATGATAAAAACATAGAAAACAATTATGGCTTTTGAGAAATCTTCCTCCTCTTTGTTCGCTCTGGATTAGCTGCAGCTCAAGCTGTTTTAAATATAGAGGTCTGTATGCCACAACTGCTGATTAACAAATGATCTAGAGGTACCTAAGGCACATCTCCTTTTAAAGCACATCTTCGTGTTTAACTTTCAAACTTTTACCTGAGAAGGGTACATCCTCCTTCTCGAAGAAATGGGTCTCCCAGCCTGAGAGTCCTGTCCAGTGGGAGAATATCCTGTTGGTGGACTGTTAAAACCAGTTTGTGGCATAGCTGATCCTGGAGACATTGATGGAGGGGGTGGGGTTAGACTCTGACCTGGTGTCGCACCCCCTGGACCTGTTGGAGGGGGTGGCATTACCTGCTGCCCCATTGTTGACCCCGGAAAACCAGCCGAAGGAGGAGGTGTTGATCTCTGCAATGGGCTCCCACCCTGCCCTGGATGACCAGGCCCTGTGGTCATTGGCATTGTAGGTCTCTTTGGTTTATTGGAATGAAGAGCTGACAATGGCTGAGAACCTGGTTGACCTATGGTTGTAGATAAACCAGATGGAAAACCTTGAGCATGTCCACTGTAATTTGTGTTCTGTCCAACTTGTGACATCTGGGGTGGGGTATTTGACTGTCCATGTACAGGCAACCCAGTCCGTGACTGACTTGGGAGGGGTGGCATAGAGGATGAATTTTGATACAGTGATGATTGCCCTGAATGGGAGGTAACTGGAGTGAAAGCAGAACCAGTTTGTTGCATTCCATGAGTATTGTTAATTATGGTTTGCTGCTGAGAATTGGAATTTAGGGAGGGTCCATTTGCTAAAGCAGATCCTGAAGGTGGGGTGGACTGTCCATGGGTGGGTGCACTAAGATTTGGTACAGCTTGTCCCATTCTAGGTTGTGAAGGAGAACTTCCAATAGGGGGGCCAACTCCTGAGACAGGACCATTAGCAATGGCATTAGGAGATGGAGAGTGATTTCCAGATTGCCCTGAAACAAAATGAAACAACTTATCTAAGTTTGGTAAAACAAAAGAGGAGCTGACAGTGCTTAACTCCTACTCTGAATTTAAATTAAAACTACCACCCACTTCCTTTCGTCTACATTCGAAAAAGTATCATGAAGACAAATAACTTTGAGGTCTGTACTAAAAGAACCCTTGGCTTGATGTATCATCAGTTCAGACTGTGTAGATGTAGGCAGAATGAAATTCAAAATAAATTACTCCTTTGGAAATGGTCAATCATCCAGAACAGGACAGACCTATATAGAGGTCCTGCTGTGGTTGAGGATAACCAGCCCTTGGACAAAATGTGCATATGTCATTATCAGTGAAAAAAAGAGTGATTAGTCACAAAGATATTGAAGTCTAGTTTTTTGATCTTTTCAGAAATATAAGTAAGACACCTGTATAATTTTTTCCTGACACTGGTTGACCTGGACAGTCTCCCAGATCATCCACAACAGTCTGACAGTCATCACTAGCTCAAATGCTATGACAACAACTTAAAAACACCAACTAGCTGCTGAGATTGAATATTCACTGACCAGTTTGCAGATTCATTGGACTTCTGTTGGGTGGCAATGCTGATGAGGATTCATGAGAATTATTCAAAGAATGTGGTGATGCGCCAACCATGTTATTAACCATTGGAGGGTTGGTTCTGTATTGATTATGGCCTGGTGATAGAGATGTAGGCCATTGGCCTGGGTACTGAGCTTGGTAACCTAAACAAAAGGAGAAAATTATATAAATTGAAAAAATTCTATTGTTGGCTTTTTAGCTCTTTAATCAATATTGCAGAAATTTGTCTGAGTGTAAAACAGCTAAAATTAAAGTTCAACATGGTTATTAATGGACGATATATGGAAATCAAGTATAAGATAATGTGACATAGCACTATTGGAATGTTTAAAGTACATGAAAAAGAGTTCACTAACTCAGAGGCATTAACGACCAGATTTACATTAATAATCTAAGTATATCATCTACAACAACAATCCTTTAAAGTTCAATCAGAACTATGTCAACCATAAAATTACAGAGCGCACTTTATACATAAGCTAACAAATTGAAGTGTTCCGCAATTAATTACAGGGCACGAACGAATTACCAAAGACATTGTAACCAAAGAAGCTAGAATTGTACACGTATATCCGGCCACGATACCATGTCTCCCGTGTTCTGTTTAAGCTAGCGTGGTAAAGAAATGGATTTATAATTCAGCAAGGAAACCAAATCTGGAAATTTATTCGTCGATTTATATTTAAAGAATAAGTGCTTTACGTTACAACCAGCTGATCGAATGTAACCTGCTACTAAAAACTAATGACGACATAATAACTAAGCAAATCAACCAGTACAATTTGAATTATCTTCTGAAGAAATAACCTTAACATTTCCACATTATCCGAGTTGAGACGATTAAAAAGTTTAACAACCTTCACGAAGAAATCGACATGGCTTCTGAGGAGAATCTTGTGACATTACTTCACTTGATGAAACTCAATCTGTCAATAGATGATTCCTTACCTTTCGAAGCCGGGTTCATGTCTTGGGAAACACTCTGAGTCTGATTATTGACAATAGACGTGTGTTGAGATTCCTGACTTACTCCTTTTTTATCTGGTTGCACAAATTCTCCATGATTTTGCGAAGACTCAAAACTATTTACACCACCGTGGTTGAGGTATGGTTGCTGTTGACCAACCGAGAACGCATTATGACTCGGCGGTAACCTTCCTCCAGACATTACCTACCACACATTTAAAACCTATAATATGGGTCGTTGTTGAGTGGAATCCAGTTGGGTTATGTCAATCGCTTTTGAAAAGCGTGAGTGCACCCAATTTTTCGAGAATTTTGTGAATCTCACTCCAGCCTGCAGCCACGAAATGCAGATGTTTGAGTATGCGCAGTAGACGTGTTCTTAGCGACGTGGCAACTGTGATGCATTGCGCACCGACATATCAGTTTTGCGCGTTTACAATGCACACGGTAATTTTCCCACGCACACAACTAAAAATACAAATTGGATGTAAAATTGGAAACGAAACACATGTCACCGCATAATACCTTATGGAAAATTAACAATCATTTTATGAATCCGCGTTGAATCTTTTGTGTATGATTAAATATTAACAGAGCTGCTGGCCACGGTTGTTCGAAGGGAGAATAAGACTATCCACAGATTCCACAAGCAAGCCCAGAGATTATAATCTCATTCCACTGGATAAATCTATCTCTATCTGTGGTGGATAGCTTTGTTAACTCCTATCAACTGAACAGTGATTTATTCTTTACAGCGTATCCTCTCTTTGGACAACTGAGTCCTGGGGAATGCAAACGAGGCATTTTCCAACGGGTTTGCTATAATTGCATAACACCCAAAATCAGTGTTTAATAAGAGGTTTTTCAAGAATAAATGCAAAAGTGGCAAATTTTGTCTGTTCGAGTTAGTACAAGTATATTTCCACATTGCATTCCAGAATAAACAAACCTTGCGTTCAATGCCGCTCTTCCTTTGATATCCAATTCGAGCAAGGAGAACCTTTCGCTGCGGTTGTCACCGAAGAGGAGACAAACTTACTCAGTGGGTTGTATTGTATTCTTTTGTTCTCTTTTTTATTTTCGACGAGCCTCCTTGCAAAATTTTTCGTTGTCTTAATGTCTACAGGATCCAATTTTACCTCGATAATTGAATTTTTTGTTTCTTTCCAAGCTTAATTCAAGCACTTTGTTATGTCTAACTTCCATATTATTTTGCAGGTAATCGCTGCCTGGAAGCATTTCCAGGCTGATTGAAGGTTTGTGTTCAATCGCTTGTGTTATCTTTCCGTTTTACCGCGCCATGCGAAAACGAAATAAGTCATTCAGCTCATTTTTACGCGTAGCGGATTGAAAAGCAAAAAGTGTAAGGTGAATTATTTTTTTTTAAGAGAGGAGTGTTCAAAACGGAAATTGTCAGTCAGAGAAAGTAAAATTTAAAAAAAGCCTTTTGGAATTGGAAAATGATTCTAACAGCAAACAGGATAAAGTGAAAAAAAGAAACGGAATTTTAAGTTCGTACTCCTTCGCCATTTAAATCGGTTATCACTAAGATAGACGATTCAAAGCCTCCTCCTCTAACGTTCGCGTAAACCTTTAGTACGAGTATATTTTACGACTATTTTTTTCAGCAGGAAGATGTGTCAGCGTGAGGACGAACCAATTAAGTTACAAAAAGAAATCAAGCGTAAATACAAAATAAAAATATATGCATTTTATTTGAACTTATCTACAAATTATATTTCTTTTTACTTAAGGCACTGCCGCACGAACTTTGACGTCGTTTAGTGTATTCCAGCCCTGAAAATCTCATATGGAAATTTTGCAAAACGATCTCACGTTCCTCAATGGGAGCTTATGTCCTTAAATCTAATTCTACACTGGTATGAAGCTGCTATTAGAATCCAGGTAGGTTTTTGAGATCTTCCTACCATTAAGGACGGCAGAAAAAAACGCATGCCTTGAAAATATCACCTTTTTTAAAAGATAAATCTCAACTCACAAGCAAAGAAATTGCTTTCAGTCTCAAATGCAAAAAAAAAAACCATTCAAGCTGATTTGTTTTTGTTTCTGTGTTATCTGGAATACCATCTGTGGTTCCGCAGCCTGTTTTTCCCTTGTGTCTCGCCTGAAAATGAAGACGAAGAATGAAACTGTTTTAACTGCCTAAAAATTATATTATTGAAACCAAAAGCGGAACTATATGCCCATATAATGGTAAACTCCGAGCGAATGAGCTCTAAAAAGATGTAATTCTACCTGTTGTGGGCGAAACAGGGCATGTTCACTTGAAAATTAAAGCCTACCTCCATTAGCGTTTCCAATAGTTCCTGTGGAAGGATTCCATATCCATTTTACCTGTCGAAATGTGAGTAAGATCAGATTGAGCCAGAAAGTCGGTCATTTCCACTTTCTCCCCCGCCCCTTTCATCTTCCCACCACGATGTGTTCCAATTCTGTAAGTCATACATGGCGTCCCTGATGAGGTGTACTAAAAGGATTACCTCTTGGCTTTGGACAACCACCAGTCCCTCCTTTTCGGCGTCGCGCAAGTCGAAAAAAATAGCAAAAAAAAAAGAGGTGAAGTTTGCGCAAGATTTGCCAAGATTTGACTCGCGCGACGATCTTCGCCAAAAAGGAGGTACTGTTCGTATTCTATCTTGGCACCGGATACGCATTGGGTTGGATTTGCAAAAAGAATTAGAATCGACTGGAAGACGACACGAGCATCAAGATTTGTGCCACGTTCAAATCCCTCCTGGCGCCTACTGCTAATAAAAAAAAAAAAAAGCTGGCAACTTACTCCATCCGGACAGTTATAAGAGTTGACCATGTTTGGCTGGGGGTTGTTGTGACGAGAATATGGAATTACAAACGCAGTAGGGAAGGGTTTTCTCTGTTGAAAGTGTCGTTGGTATGTCGTGGAGCCAAATCTGTAGTTGATTGGAGCGTAGTTGGCAGAAGAAACCCTGAAAAAAGAAATAACTCTATTCAATTTAATAGCAGCTATTGGAGAGCAAATTTTTTTATGTAAATGTAAACTTTTTAAATATTCCTCTTGTCATAAAGAATAATCAAATTAGTGAGCCTACAAGTTCAAAATAATTTGAGGTACGCTTCGGTCGTCCCAAAATAAATGAAGCATATTTTTCGGACAACGGAGCGCTGTTATGTTTTCAACTATTGAGTCAGTCTCCGAAAAGAGAGAGATCAGGGAAAGAGATTGAAATATGAAATTATTCAGTGCACAGGCATACTCGGAGAAAAAGAACTCCGAGTGCTCCCCCTACGAGTCGAACCGACAACCTTCCGATTAGTACTTCGGGAAAGAGAGTGGGCTTAACTTTTCTTTTACCAGGAAATGGTTCTAGTTCAAGCAGTTCGAGGTAGAATCACCGAGCCTTATAAAATTATTTGTGAATAGTACAGCACAACAAAGGCTAAACAAATTATATTTCGACGAACTTCAGTGTTACTTTAGCTATGAGACGATCGGTTGCAAAGGCTTCAAGAAAAGGTTTACTCTCCCATATCATAAAAGACTAATCTATAAGATATCTGAGTAACTAAGCCATCAAACCGGGGTGGTTTTCAGGTTAACCATAAAGCTGTTCAATCGCTGAAATGACCTTAATGTTTCGCATCACTCTCACGTTTGCAATGTGTTACGACGAAAGCATGACCATTTGTTCCATGTCAAGTAGAAATATTTGAAAACACTTTGCTTGAGTGTTATTTTCTTTAACACAATACCTTTAATTAGCTTGTAAACTACCCTTTGGAAGTTGCTACAGCCAAAATATGGCAAGCGTTCGTCCGCGTTACTATGACAACCACTTAGAGTAGCTCAGGCACTGTAGTTAAATACTCGAGTATTTTTACCTGTTTGGCACAGGAGGCGGCCAATATCTGCCTTTAAAATCACTGTTGTATTTTGTGTCGTACATGTGAGTGAAGGAATATGGCTTAAAAGCGGGCTGGTACAGGGCAGAAAGTGATGTCAGCCTCACACCCGGCCGCTGACTCTCTGCCGAAGGTGTCTCCTCGACGTCAGCTGCAAAGTGAAAAGAGTAAACAAATGATCATTGACTTTTTTTTGCAATGACTACACCACCAAATCAAACGAATAAACATTGAATCGACTATAAAGGTATACAGAAATCAACTTTATACTTACTCGTTATAGGTCGTGTCTGACTATGGCGAGAAGAGTAAGATGTGCCTTTAGGTCGGAGATTTGTTGTCGTCTCTGGACGTGCAGACTGCCGTGAGGTTGGATGGTTTTCCGATGTGTCTTTCATGTTGAAAGCTCTTTCTTTACAAATTAATTCATTTCACTCTTGGTTTTAAGTAAGATCTATTTCCTTTGTTGATAAACACTTTAAAGTCGCTAAAAGCGACGACACAGCTGCCGTTGCATGCGCTTGAAATCGAAGGGGAAAAAATTAACGCAGTATATGGGGGTGTTCAGCGGACACGCAACTAGGACTGATTGTTCTGTGTAAGTGTCACGGAAAATTAAGGACATTTCTCGAGCATACCTGATTCATAAAATGACACAGAACGTTTCCCTGCGCAAAATGTAAATATCAGTCAGCTTCCGTACGGAATGACTGTTGAAAAAGGAATATAAAAATTATATTCTCTTGATCTGTCTAATCATTGCACAAAAGAAATAAATAGATAACGAGCACGAGAGAATTTTGGCAACTATCGTATAAGAAAACAACATTTCCTCGCAAAATTTCACCGAAATCGCATGGTAGCATTCTCATGATCAGTTCAGGATAAAGCAGGCTGACATGCGGTTTTACAATAAACATAAGTCATCCACACTCATTCCATATGGAGGCTGACTGAAATTTACATCTTGCGCGGAAAACACTTTGAATGTCATTTCATATGCCATGTATGCTCATGCCAAAATGTCCTGTAATTTTTTCCGTTACACTTACATACCATTTTGGCTCTAGGTGCGTGTCCGTTGAATACCCCTATACTACGCCCGAGGTTAGATTTTTCCCGTCCCAGTGTGTACGTTGATGGCTATAGAATGCGTGACTGATGGTTTTTGTGGCTACTGCCTTCTAGGAGGCGAAGCCACCTGTGCTACCGAAGTGAGTGACTGATGCTAACAATACAGTACTGAATTTCACCCGATTCTGACCCGATGTCATTTATGGTTTATTCCGGAGTATGTTCGTGGTTCGAAATTCGCACCAAAGATTATTGGGCGCGGCATACACTTAAAAAAAGAAGAATACCTTTGAAATAAATTATTTTGTGCTTGAACAACCCAAAATATTAGTTTTCATTTATTGCGTGACACTACAGAAGACGACAAATATCACTTCAGGATGGTGCGTGATTAAAGACAAAACATTTCCTTGCAGAAATATCTTAATGGACGTGATCAGTGCATATGGAAACTTAAAGAATAATTTTTTTCATCTTAGAGAGAGCATTTTAACGTTCGAATTAGCTGATAGACATCTCAAAATAATTTTGGCGCGTAATTGAAAACAAACCTTTTCCTTGCGGAATATCTAAATAGGTGTGATCTGCACATCGTGGAGGCTTGGAGCAAATTTTATCATCTGAGGACACAGCATTTTACCTTTTGAATCAGCGACTAATGCCCAAAAGAGCCGCTAAATTTGCGAAGCGAGCAAGGTTAACAGGGTGACCCTTTTCGATGGCAGTTGAAATGGTTGAGTGGTAAAGGGCGAAATATCCTCAAACACGACATTATGGAATATCCTAAAACACTGAATGCGCACGAAAATTAAAATGCAATGAAATTAGAAAATGATTTATGATTAACAGGCAAAATTAAACCAAGCATAGTTTAACCATTATTCGTTAGTGGAGCCTAGAGGAAAGACGGTTTTTTTTCATTTTGGACACTGGTGGCCGATTTTGGATTTTAGACGTTACCGGCCGTTTCTCCGTTTCGGACACTAGTGGCCGATTTTAGAATATGGACATTGGTGGCCGACTTTGGTTTTGGACACTAATGGCCGATTTAGGATTTCGGACACAATTGGCCGATTTTGGATTTCGGACACTAGTGTCCGATTTTGGATTTCGGACACTGGTGGCCTATTTATCATTTTGAATGGTAGTGGCCAATTTTGTGTTTTGGCCTTGGCAGATTTTGTATCTTGGACGTTAGTGGCCGTTTCTTCGTTTGGACGCTTGTGGCATGGCCCATTTTGGATTTTGGACCTTGTGGCCGTTTCTTCAGTTTTGACACTAGCAACCTTATTTAAATTTTGGGCACTAGAGGCCGATTTTGCATTTTGGACACTAGTGGCCGATTTTGGATTCCAGACACCAGTGACCAATTTTGTACACTAGTGGCCAACTTTGGATTTTTAACTGGTGACTAGTGGCCGATTTTGGATTTTGGGCACTAAATGGCCGATTTTAAATTTGGATACAAGTGGCCGATTTTGGATTTTGGACACTAGTGAACGATTTTGGATTTTGGACACTAATGGCCCATTTTGGATTTGGACGCTAATGACCGATTTAAAATTTTGGACTTTAATGACCCATTTTGGATTTTGAATTTTGGACACTAGTGGCCGCTTTAAAAATTTTGTGTATATGTGGCCGATTTTAAATTTTGGACACAAGTGGCCGATTTCGGATTTTGGACACTTGTGGAAAACTTTGGATTTAGGACGCTTGTGACTGATTTATCATTTTGGACGCTAGTCACCGAATTGGGGTTTTGAACCTTAGCTGTCCTGGTCAATTTTGGATTTTGGATAATAGTGGTCGATTTTGAATTTGGACATTGGGGGCCGATTTCGGATTTTGGACACTAGTGGCCGACTTTGGATTTTGGACACTTGTGGCCGATATAGGATTTTTTGGACACTAGTGGCCGATTTGGATTTCGGAAGCTAGTGGCCGATTTTGGATTTTAGACACTAGTGGCCGATTTTGGATTTTAGATGCTAGTGGCCAATTTTGGATTTTGGACGCTAAAGGTCATTTCTTCATTTTTGACACTAGTGGCTGATTTTGGATTTTGGACACGAGTGGCCGATTTTGGATTTTGGACACCAATGGCCCATTTTGGATTTGAACACTAGTGGCCAATTTTAAATTTTTGACACCAATGGCCGATTTTGGATTTTGGACACTAGTGGCCGATTTTGGATTTAGGACCTTAGTTGCCCATAATACAACCTCTAGTTCTCTTCATTGCTATAAAAATTGTGCTAAATCAGTGGCCACATGCCTATTTTTCGTGTTGTCACGCAACAAGGATGAAACTCATCCCAGTATCTTCCCAGTTTGGCCTCCGTCCTGGACTTGGCCAACGGTATAGGGGTAATAACACTTGCTCATTCAATCGTTTTATTTAGAGTTTTAAACTACTCCAATTCAAAATGCCTTGTAAATATCTAAAAGTTCTACATGCTTTGTCATTACCTGGGAACTGCGCCTGCAAACTTAGCTGTCAGTGGAGAAAAAAATTGATAGAGGACGAACTGGTCACTAATTAACACAAATATACACACTACTTCGAAGAACTGCAGGAAGTTAACCCACAAGCAATCCGAGTTGTTTCAAGCAAAATACTGATATTAATGGGTCACAAATGCTCGTCATTTTGCAGACCATCAGTGACGGTAAATGGGAAAAAATACCGAGTGGTTAAAGAACTTGGAGAAGGAGGTAACTTAACTAGAGCATTCACTCTGCCATCTGTTAAGCTTACGCATTTGGTACCAGGCCAGAGTTTGTAATATTGTAACTTCCTTCGGCAACTTTTCTAATCTCTGTTTGTGAACCGAGAATTTGAAAGTCGATGTGATCGCCTCCAAGAAGGAAATTGTCCCTAACTGTCGTATTGTTTTGTGAAGCTGAATTACACTGTATGTGACGATCAATTTACCGGCAGAGTTAGGAATTTCTGACAGAGATCGATCCTCTGAACGCTCACTGGCTAATGAGGCCCAAGTTATGTTTCTGCTAAATTTTAATCAAGGAAGGTATTCATTAGATCCATAGGTAGGAAGTAAAAGATCATCGAAAAAATACCTTAACTTTGAACGAAGGACTGGAGTAAAATTATCCTGTGATCTGAGTGAAACATTTTTCCTAGAAACAGCCAGATGACTAAATATAAATCAGCCGACTAAAAAAGTAAACAAAAATGTGCAAACAAAAACGAAAGAAACAAAAACAAAATGAAGCACAACAAAACAATTAATAATAACGGGGGTTTCAATAACGCAGTTTACCGTGGGTCTACTGCTGCCTACGAGAACTCTTACCAATGTCTAGTTTCCGGATTGGCTCTTGGGTTTTGCCCTTACAGCCCTTTTTTTCATGCACAGCTGCCCATTACACCTTCCCAGCCACCTATGGAAAAATTTATTGAGACCTCTGAGTAATTAATTGATAAAGATAATGATAATAATAATGATTAAGAGTGATGATCACAATAATAATCATAATGATGGCGATGATGTATTTGTTTTTATTGGTATGACCTTATTTCTACCTTAAATTCTAGTTTTGTCAATCTTTTTTCAAATTGGTATCCAAAGAGTGAAAAGATTGCTGGATTTATTGTGATTGCCTGCTAATTTTACTCCTGACAATTGTTTTGAATTGAAAACATTTAAAAGAATGATTCTCCCCATCAATGAGTGATAAGAAAAAGTGATGAAATGATCATAACACATCCATGTATTACAATCAGTTATTGCAATTTGTTATCATGATTCGTCAGTGTCCTTAGAATTGTACAATATTCTCTCAGACTCCATCTTTGGCTAGTCACAATATTGTGGCACTTACACTTGACAACCCAAATATTTTTCTCAACCATTAGAGAACTGTTGAGGGTAAACATGGCTCTAAGGTTTAATATTCCGCTTATTTCTAACCAACTATGTAGCATTTAATTTTACTTAATTTTCCCTTTTTTAAATCTATTATTGTTAGCAGTACTATTATCTTAATGGTAAATTTATAAATACAGCTCTAAACTGGACCTTCCAATGTTTTATTTCCAGCCTTCTCCTATGTTAATCTAGTTCATCGTGGAAATGAATGGTTTGCTCTGGTAAGTTTGAATTTGATTTAGTACTGTCATTGCATGTGGTGAAAATTATCTTTCAGATACACAGATCTGTGCTTTTTTGAGACTGAAGAAGTAGAAATATAGCAGATCCCTGTGATATTTCTACTCCCAGTTTTTCTCTGGCTTGGTTTCAAGGACACCATGCTCTCCCAAACATATTTCAATAACTTGCTAAGAGAGGGATCCTTGTGGTCTCCTTTATTAATTTATATAATTTCAATCTTTTGATCATTTTCATTCTGTCCCTTTAGAAAAGAATCCGTCTCGATCTTCCTGAGCAAGAAGAGGTGAATACAAATTAATGTTCTTTAAAAATAACTTGAAATACTCTTCAGACAGTAAGACAAATGGTCTCATTTTACATTTAGACATTTTTTAACAAGCTGTAATGGAAAGTTCTTTGCTAGACAAAGTCACAGGTGTATCACCAGCTTAAGAGGTTTTATAGGTGGCAGTAGGCCACTGTTAATAGGCTTTTATAGAAACCCTTGATGCATATATTCTGAATTATATAATGTGGAACAAGACCACACCAATACAGGAAAATTATATGTATGTAAAATGATTGTACTTACCCCAACTCAGACTCTATAGACTTCTTCAAGTGTCTTTGGATATGACTGACAAATCACATGCTTTTACTCATAACAATAGGCATGTAAAGAAAATGGCTAATAAAGATTTTTGTTTAGTTCTGGGATTTTATTTGTTCTGATCACAACAGGCATTTGAACGTGAGGTAGATGCTCATAGAGCTGTTACTCACCCAAGTGTCCTCGACTTGCATGATGTGGATGTGGTATCTAAAGGAACATATAAAGAGGCACGCATGCTTGTGACTTACTACAAGGTATTTTCATTCCATCTTCTACATTTATTCAAATCTCAGTTTTATTAATTACAAGTAACTGCCAGTAAATATAGCTGTACACAATTAAAAACAAAAGGGTCTTATTATATAATTCTTCTCACACTATTCAATGTCTCCTAGAATGGAACAGTGCAAGACTTGATTGAACGCACACAGCTTGCAGGAGGTCACATCCCTGAGTTAAATATTCTTCATATGTTCAAGTCACTCTGTGAAGCTATACTTGCTTTTCATAGCTTAGACCCACCTCTGGCACACAGAGATATCAAGGTAGGAAGAGTCTGTATTATAGATCATGGTTTACACACCAGACTGAGTTACATACAGCTGCTGTTTATCTCAGATTCTGCGACATGAATGGCTTGAAAGTATTGCCAGTTCTCTTGGATAGATGCTAGGAGTTTATCCCCAGCGTTTTTTCATGTTTCTTTGACAGTTGACTGGTGTTGTACATTTGATTTAATATTCCCTGTTGAGATAGAAAAAGCAGAAGTTAATTATCTTTCCAGCAACACAGCAAAATGACCCTTTCAAGGGCTGGAACGCAGCCTTTTTTTATTCAGTGGAGTCCAGTTCACAGATCATTAATCCAATGTGTTCCCCTATACCTGGGACCAGAATATTGTTGTAAACTCACCACAATCAAATGATGGTTTTTATGTGTCAATCATGAAGATGCATCATTTGTAGGCAATGATGGTGCTTTAGAAGATTTTTGACTCTGCTAACTAACTGGTAACATCCCCTTTTTTCAGCCTCATAATTTGTTAATTGGTCCTGACATGACTGTGGTACTGATGGATCTTGGAAGTGTCTCCAGAGCAAGATGTGTCATTACTTCAAGGTAAGGAATAGGTGATGGATTTTAATTTGAACAAAAGAGTAGCGTGTTATTATTGTCCAGGTGAGGCTAGGATCAGAAAAGTCTGATGTTAGAGGCAGTAAGGGATGTTTTGACAACCTGAGTGGAGATCACTTTCAGAGTCAAATAAATTAATTTGTTTTTTAACACAACGATGTCAGCTGAGGTTGTTGATGGTTTGGCCACCGTCAGATACAAAAGTCCTCTTTAGGAACAGCCTCTCTCTTTCAGCTTCACTAAACCATTGACAGTTGGATTTTGCCTACTGATATAAAATATCTTGTGTTTTGGAGGGTGGAGAAGAGAGCAGGTGGAAGGAGTTAAGATAATTTTTGAGTGTGAATGAGGTTAATGTGTTGGGGGTTTTTGTTTGTTTGTTTGTTTTTTGACAAGGGATTTTCTGTATTTGATAAGCACACTGGCTGCAGTTAGTGTAGTGAATCATGCTTTCATAGCTGCCTCACTGCAATGCAGTTTGAATGATAAACAAGAAGCATCAGACACATTTCAGTACAGAAATGGCTGGTTGAAAAAAAAACCTGGCTTGTGAGGTGGATGCTATAAAACCTAGCTGATGTTAATTTTTAAATCTTTTTTAAATTCTATTTTTGTTTAAAGGATTTAAAGTCATTTATTATGCCATGTTTTATCTTGCAGAAGGGAAGCCTTGGCCCTTCAAGAGAGGTGTGCACAGGAATGTACCGCTGCATACAGGTGGGAAACAAGTGTTCAGTTTTGTACAGCATGAAGACACTGTCTACTAATATTATAAAATTTAAACACTGGGGAGGCCTTAATCCTTTAACTCCCAGAAGTAACCTCTCCCTACAATATTCATTCACTATCCAGCAAGCAGGTAATGAGAATGCTCAAATGTAGAAATTTGTTATCTTGATCTAACACCAAACTCTCGTAAATTATTTACAAAGAAATGTGTAGCAGCTGAAGGGGAGAATTAACAATGCACCTGTGCATTCATCTTGATGTCTGATTTCCTGTGGGTGGGGGGGGTTGCAAGAGTCTCTAAAGATAAAATTTTGTCAAACTGCAGTATAGCATTAGATACGAACAGTTTTATTTTAGTGCACTTTGTTTTTGTATCTATCTAGAGTAGGAAAGTAGGATTCCCCTCCCTTATTGAAGGTCTGATGTCAGTAATTAATGTTATCTGTACTGACTTGCAGGGCTCCAGAACTGTTTGAAGTTCCTTCAAACTGTGAAATTGATGAGAGAAGTGACGTTTGGTCTTTGGGTTGTACTCTGTTTGCCATGGCTTATGGTGAGATTTTTCTTTAAATTGATTGAAATTGCAGCAGAAACTGAAATTACAAAGGGTATATGGCAATTTTTTTTGTCTGACTGGAGGCGGTAGAACTGGGTTTTTATATGTCAGTAGTAATTATTGGTTTTGCATGTTTAACTTGTTGGTTACTCAGAGCATGGTAATCATAGCATAAGAACAGCAATGTCAAAATGAAGATGATATAACAGAATAACAGTGCCATTTGTTCAATGGTGAATACTTTGAATATTTTTAATAGAGAAGTGTCAAAATCACAGAGAAATAGAATTTCATTAAATATGACAAACATAAGAATAGACATCAGCTAGCCTACTCACTTATCCCCAGTACTTAAGGTATGGGATGTGATGACACCCTACAAGTTCATCAGAACACATGGTCTGAAGTAAAAAACCCGCATATAAGAACCTAGAATTTTGGAGGTCAGGCTGAACAGGTTCCTATATTTTGGGGTATTTTTTTCCAATAACAGGCTGATTAAGTTCTTAGTAGGTTCTTATTTGCAAAAGTTATTATAGTGATAGCATTCGGGGGACTGCAATAGTACTAATATGCTATAGTTTTAAAGCATTTACAAAAATGTCAAGCCTTGTTGTCAAAACAAGTCCTGTATCATGTATCAAAAAAATGTTTTAATTTTTAAATGTACTGTACAGTATTTGTGCCTGTATTTGTAACTACAGCAAAGTTTTATGGAATGAATAATATTTTATTGGTAAGACTAAAAAGCAGTACACTACAAAAATTTTCACAATTGAAATCCAGAATTTGAACATCAAATCTGGAGTGTTTTTTTTTTTAATATAAAAACCTATTTTTCTTTGTCAGGCTGAATAGGTTCTTAATATATTTGGGTATTAAAATGCAAAATTTCAGCCTGTAGGTTTTTAAATAACTAGGTTCTTATACGTGGGTTTCTACTGTATCTCAAAAATGTTTAATGTCTCTGGCCCTGTACCAGGGAATTGCTCACAGGGAGTCTTTGATTTCCTACGCAACAGATGAGGATCTCCATAAAATTATGTTCAGCATTTTTCATGGTTTTTGTTTTAAATCAGGTCAAAGCCCTTGTGATGGCTCAGCACTCTCTGCAAATAGTGGTAATATTCAAATTCCAAGTAACAGGTAAGTTTCTTGTCGAGTTTTCTATAACAAGCTTATGTTCTTGTGTGCTTCATAGTTGCCAACGTTTAGACAATCAATCTGTAAACTTCACGTTGCCATGTTTTTTTCCTTATTCCCGCCATACTTAATTTTAATCTGGAAGATTTCATGGGGCTCCATCCTTTTCAGACATGAGAGCTAGTAGTTCACCAGACATTTTGGCTTAAAATGTAAACTGCTGGATTTCTCTTTGAAATGAGGGGACTGAAACTTTAATGGTAGCTTCTTTGCAAAGGAACTGAGAGAGGACAGGAAAGTTTCCTATCCAACTTTTTCTTTTACGAGAGGGATTTTGTAATGAGGTGCATAGCTAAAAGTACATATAAAGAGTTTTAAGCCCTTGTTAGGGTGCCACAGAGTCAAACAAGGAACTCATACGAATCTGATGCCATTAAATGTGAACTTCAGCCGCGGGAAGATGTTGAGGGTGGCGGAATTTTTCTCGACCAATCGCTGAGCATAGTAAAGCAAAACCGATGGGATCCCATTTTACTTTTGTCTCAAAGTTTGAAATTCCTGTAGACCTGATGCTAGTTTGGCTCTTAAGAAACCTGAGCACTCCACTTCATGTGCTCTTCAAGAAGTTTGTAGAAATTGACTTATCTCATGTTTGTTTTTCAGTGTTTATTCAATGGAGCTAAATGGTCTGATAACAAGTATGCTTAAAGTGGATCCTCAAGAGAGACCTACGCTTCAATTGATTTTACGCAGACTAGAAAACCTAGCTCCCGCCTCATCAGTCTTTAGCTTTGAAGGCGGAAGAAGTGTTTCCATACAAATGTAAAATTTACTTTACCTTTTTTTAATCTGACATATAACTATTTGATCAAATTACTTAGAGAATCGTATCACTAAAACCCAAGTTATAGGAAGACATTTCGATTTATTGTCTTAAAATCAAAACCAAAGTTATCACAACAGAGAACAGAGCAAAAAAAATTATCATACGGAGTCAATAAGAGAAAACAAGCGAACTGCTTGAGGCGCGGGAAAATGTGAATGACATGTCGTAATAAGTATAGGTTTTGAATCTGATTGGTTGAAAGTATAGGCGTGCGTTTTCATGGCCAATCACAAGTCGAAGTGAAGCAAAACCAAAGCAGTCCTGGATTACTTTTGACACTCAAATAAGTGCGTTAAAACCCACCGTTAGCACGTACTCAGAACCCGAAATTTCGAATTTCGTAGCTTTAGAGTAGGCTGTTATTGCCATTTCGAACTCGTTTTGAAATATTTAGCCAGCAATATGAAGATATCTTGAGTTTTTTTCTGGGGGGAGGAGGGGAAGGAGTGAAGACAATTGCCGATTATTGTTGTAAAATAGGAATTAGCAAACACTCATAGAGGCAAGTATCAACTGGAGAGGTGAATAACTATGTTGAAGATGGAGAAGGATTACACAGATCGAAAATAATTCAAGATTAATAATATAAGAGCCCCTACATTTTCAAGATATGCAAATTGTTATTCCCCTCGCAGCCGCCGTCTGTCACGCAGAGAGGAAGCGTTGCGTGACAAGGCCACTAAGGATACTATAGATAAACTATGACTTACTCCCTTTCACTACACATGAGATTTTTAACCTATTCACTCCAAGGTCCTATTAGTAATTCTCCTTTAATGTCTCCCACACAATTCTTATGTTGGTCGTTTGGAGAATTCTCTATCGGATCAACACAATTATTCTCATCACTTGCTTGCTAGATATTGTATTCATAATGTTAGGAGAAATTCTGTCTTGTTCACTCGTGGGAGTTGAAGGGTTAAGACCTTGTACTTAAAGATTAACTGATATCCAAAAGCTTTGAATGTGTGGAGCCCTCAATTACATCAACTGCAGTAATTCTGGACAGACTTCTCGCGCTGTTGTTGGGTCTAAGATACAGACCTGTTGTTACATTAAGGCGGATCCGAGTAGTCATAACATGCTTCTGGCATTAATCGGTCTTTCTAACCATTTTTCACTCTATCATTATCACCCTTTTTAGTCCAATTTCAGCTGTTTTTTTTATCCATAGTTCTTCTGTTCGTTTCGGCCTATTCTTACAGCAAGGTCAACGTTCGTCTCCGCCACTAAATGCCGCTTGTACGAGGCAATATTTTCCAAGAACATTCGGCCCTTAGAGGCGTCATGCCAACTGAATTAAATATTGCACGTTACAAGAACACAGTTTCCGCCATTGCATGGGTACAGCTCGGACTATTTGTTTTGTATCTTCCTATCATACTGGATTCTTTTTCACAAATCCAAGTTTTCATGACGTCAATTTACTTAAACTCATCTATGAACCCCTTTCTTTACTGCTGGAAAATCAGGGAGGCGAAACAAGCTATAAAGGATACAATTAGACAGTTAAACTGCCGTTGTGGGCCAAACTAAACCCAGGTGTTGTACAAAACAGTGCAAAACTCCGTGGGATGGACAACTGGACTCATGACTTGTTAGTGTACAAGTTTTATATTCAGGCCATTGAATCGCCACGAGAAAGAA